TTTTTTTTTCCCGGTACCTCGATGTGCCGGATGTGGTGCCGGTAGCTCCGGACCAGATTCCTGCTCTGCTCCTCCATCCTCTCCAGGAGCACTCGGATCTCGCCCTCCTGCTCCCGCAGGGCCTGCTCGTACTGCGAGTCCTTGGCCTCCAGCTCCTGGAAAAACGGGAATGCAGCGGGAATTCAGCGGGAATTCACTGGAAATTCAGCGGGAATTCAGCGGGAATTCAGCGGGAATTCAGCGGGAATTCAGCGGGAATTCACTGGAAATTCAGCGGGAATTCACCAGGAATTCAGCAGAAATTCACTGGAAATTCACTGGAAATTCAGCAGAAATTCACTGGAAATTCAGTGGGAATTCAGCAGAAATTCACTGGAAATTCAGCAGAAATTCACTGGAAATTCAGTGGGAATTCACCAGGAATTCAGCAGGAATTCACCGGAAATTCAGCAGAAATTCACTGGAAATTCAGCAGAAATTCACTGGAAATTCACTGGAAACTCACTGTAAATTCACTGGAAATTCAGCAGGAGTTCAGTGGGAATTTAGTGGGAATTCACCAGGAGCTCAGCGGGAACTCAGCAGGAATTTAGTGGGAATTCACTGGGAATTCACCAAGAGCTCAGCAGGAATTCAGCGGGAATTCACTGAGAATTCAATGGGAATTCACCGGGAATTCACTGGGAATTCACCAGGAATCCAGCGAGAATCCTCAGGGAATTATCATGGAGCAGTTTGGGTGGGAAGGATCATCCCATTCCAATCCCACCATCCCAGGGTGCTCCAGCTTTTCCTTGGATGCTCCCAAGGATTCTCTGGTAATTCCAGCCCAGCCAGGAATTCCTTCCCAAATCCCATTTCCCCCTTTCCCAGGGAGTTCCCTCCATTCCCAGCTCTGGGATTGGATCCATCCCCATCCTGACTCCTCTCCGGGAAGGAATTTCGGGAATTTATTGGGAATGCAGGACTCCAGGGAGGGTCTCCCTTCCCTTTTCCATCCCTGAATTCCATAAAAATCTATTCCATAAAAATCAGGATGGATCTGAGTGTCCTGGATCCCAGAATCCCGGAATGGTTTGGGATGGGATCCATGGATCTTCAATCCCATTCCAGGGACACTTCCCAGGATCCCAGGGTGATCCAAATCCACCCTTGGACACTGCCAGGGATCCAGGGATCCTCTGGGAATTCCAGCCCAGCCAGGAATTCCTTCCCAAGATCCCACCCCAAGCTCCCCTTTCCCAGTGGGAATTCCCTTCCCTGTGTCCCATCCCTCCAGCCTTTTCCCAAGTCCCAGCTCTCCTGGAAACCTCTGGAAAAGGCTCCCAGCATTCCCTGCATCCTTCCCCGAATTCCCAGCTCTCCCAGAATTCCCGAATACCTGCTGGAGCTCCCGGATCAGCCGGTTCTTCCCTGTCAGGAGCTGCTGGCACTGATCCTGCTGCTGCTCCAGCAGCTCCCACAATTCCTGCGGGATTTTCAGATCCCCCGCCAGGGCCCACTTGGAATTGATCTCCGCCAACTTTTCCGTGCCGTGCTTGGCTTCCCATTCCAGCTTTTCCAGCCTGCGGGAAGCCAGGGAATCGGGGAGCTGGGATAGGGCTGGAATTGCTCCAGACCTGGAGTCCTTCCCTTCCCTAAATTCTTTCCCTTAATTCCTTCCCTTCCCTAAATCCCTTCTCCAAATCCCTTCCCTTTTTCTAAATCCCTGCCTAAAATTCCTTCCCTTCCATAAATCCCTTCCCTGAATCCCATCCCATTATCCCATGGATCCCATTATCCCATCCCATCCCATTATCCCACCACCCCCAGATGGAATTCCAGCTGGAAAACCCCACGGAATTCCAACCATTCCCAACACTTCCATGCCCCCAAGTGCCACATCCCTGGAGCAGCAGTGGCTCCCTGGGAAGTTCTTGTTGGAGCCACGCCCAAATTCCCAGATCCCAGAATTCCCAGCAGCTGGTTCCTTAAGGAGATTCCCACTGGGAATTCCCATGGAGCATCCTGCTCCATCTTGGAGTCATTCCAAAGGCAGTGGGGGAATGGATTTGGTGTTTCCTGGCTGACATCCCAAATTCTGGGAATGGGAATTCTGGTTGATAGAAAAGTGGGATAGGAGAGGTCGGGAATGATCCTGGGGGTGGCGGGGATCAGGGAATGCCAGAGAATTTGGAAAATCCCAACGGGAGAAATTCCAGTCAGAGCAGGATGGGCGGGGCCTTCACAGGAAAGGGCTGAGGAATTCCGAGGAGGAATTCCAGAATGGTTTGGATGGGATCCATGGAGCTTCAATCCCATCCCATTCCAATCCCACAATCCCAAGGTGCTCCAACCTTTCCTTGGACGCTCCCAGGGATTCTCTGGGAATTCCAGCCCAGCCAGGAATTCCTTCCCAAGATCCCACCCCAAGCTCCCCTTTCCCACTGGAAGCCATTCCCTGGCTCCTGGCCCTCCAGCCCTTTCCCAAATCCCAGCTCTCCTGGAAACCTCTGGAAAAGGCTCCCAGCATTCCCTGCATCCTTCCCTCATCCAGCTGCACATTCCCAGCTCTGGCATTGGATCCATCCCCATCCCGATTCCTCTCTGGAAAGGAATTTCAGGATCCAGGGGCTTCACTGGGAATTCAGGACTCCAGGAAGGGTCTCCCTTCCCTTTTCCATCCCCAAATTCCATAAAAATCCCTCAGGGATGGATCCTGAGTGTCCTGGATCCCAGAATGCCCAGAATGGTTTGGATGGGATCCATGGAGCTTCAATCCCATCCCATTCCAATCCCACAATCCCAAGGTGCTCCAAGCTTCCTTGGACGCTCCCAGGGATTCTCTGGGAATTCCAGCCCAGCCAGGAATTCCTTCCCAAGATCCCACCCCAAGCTCCCCTTTCCCAGTGGGAATTCCCTTCCCTGTGTCCCATCCCTCCAGCCTTTTCCCAAATCCCAGCTCTCCTGGAAACCTCTGGAAAACTCCCTGGGCCAGCTGAGATTTGGGAGCTCTTTACCGGCCTAAATTTCCCGCCGGAATTCCCAAATTCCCGGCTCCTTCCCGCTCACCTCCTCCTCTTTTCCTCCCCCTCCTTTTCCCGCCTCCGCGATTCCCGCAGATCCGCTTCCACCCGGACGTTCGTCAGCAGCTGCGTCCCGTGGAAAAGGAGCTTGGCCAGGACCTGCCAGGGAAGGGAAATCCTGGGAATTCGGGCTTGGAATGAGCCAATCCCGCATCCTTCCCGTTCGTGGGAATCAGATCCCAAGGATCCAGCCCCAATCCCAATCCTGGGAATTTCTCTCCGGGTTTTTGGCCAATAAAAGGAGGAAAACGTGGAAGAGGAATGGATCCAAGAGATTCCCATTGGATCCAACCCCAATCCCAGGGATTTTCTCTCCCGTTTTTTTGCCCATAAAAGAGAAAAACCAGGGATAAGGACGGATCCAATAGGAAATTCCCATCAGATCCCAAATCCCAATCCTGGGAATTTCTCTCCCGGTTTTCAGCCAATAAAAGGAGGGAAAACGGAACAAGAACGGATCCAAGAGATTCCCATTGGATCCAACCCCAATCCCAGTCCTGGGGAGTTTCTCTCCAGGATTTTGCCCCATCGAGGAGGAAAACCAGGGATAAAGATGGATCCAAGCAGAGATTCCCATTGGATTTCAAGGATCTGGCCCAAATTCCCATTCTGGGGTTTCTCTCCTGGTTTTTTGTCCCATCAAGGGGACACCAAGAAGGAAAACCTGGAACAAGGAGGGATCCAAGAGGAAATTCCCATCAGATCCCAAATTCCCAATCCTGGGAATTTCTCTCCCTGTTTTTGGTCAATAAAAGGAGGAAAACATGGAACAAAAATGGATCCAAGAAATTCCCATTGGATCCCAAATCCCAGTCCTGGGGAGTTTCTCTCCCAGTTTTTGGCCCATCAAGAAGGAAAACCAGGAATAAGGATGGATACAAGAGGAAATTCCCATTGGATCCCAAATCCTGGTCCTGGGGTTTCTCTCCTGGATTTTTATCCCATCAAGGGGACACCAAGAAGGAAAACCTGGAACAAAGAGGGATCCAAGAGGAAATTCCCATTGGGTCGATGATCCAGCCCCAATCCCAATCCCAGGGAGTTTCTCTCCCGTTTTTTTGCCCATAAAAGAGAAAAACCAGGGATAAGGAGGGATCCAAGAGGAAATTCCCATCAGATCCCAAATCCCAATCCTAGGAATTTCTCTCCCGGTTTTCGGCCAATAAAAGGAGGAAAACGTGGAAGAGGAACGGATCCAAGAGATTCCCATTGGATCCAACCCCAATCCCAGTCCTGGGGAGTTTCCCTCCCGTTTTTTTGCCCATAAAAGAGAAAAACCAGGGATAAGGAGGGATCCAAGAGGAAATTCCCATCAGATCCCAAATCCCAGTCCTGGGAATTTCTCTCCCAGTTTTCAGCCCATAAAGGATAAGGATGGATCCAGGAGAAGATTCCCAACCCTTCCTCACCTTCCCGGTCTCCTCGATCACCTTCAGGCTCTTCCTCTCCTCTTCCTCCTCCTCCTCCTCCTCCTCCTTCTCCACCTTCTCTCCAAGGGCTTCCCTGGGAGGAAAACAGGGAAAAGTTGGGATCTTTTCCACCCCAACCTCTTCCCAATGCTGGGAAAGGGCCGGGATCCAATCCCGGGATCTCCCTCCCCCTCGGGACATTCCCGTGGGAAGCAGGGAGCTGGGAACAGCATTCCCAAAGGAAAACGGGATCCAGGATTCCCCCTCTGGAGCTGGGAATGCTGCCAGGAATGCGGGATCAGCCCCTCGGGGAAAAGGGAGGGAATTTTGGGATGGGGAAAGGATTTGGGAACGGGAAGGGAAGAAGGAGCCTGGAAGGATGGGAATGTGAGAAATGAGATTCCATGGATTTGGAATTCCTGTTGGGAATAGGAATGATATTCCATGGATTCAGAATAGGATCCACAGGGAATGTGACAAGTGAGATTCCAAGGATTCAGAATTCCTGTTGGGAATAGGATCCACAAGAATGTGATGAATGAGATTCCATGGATTTGGAATTCCTGTTGGGAATGGGATTCTGTTGGGAATAGTTCTGGTAACTGGGAATGGTCCTGAGCTTTGGGACTGTGTTTGGGATGGATCCTGAGCCTGGGATTGGATTTGGGATTGGATCCTGAGCCTGGGATTGGATTTGGGATTGGATCCTGAGTTTGGGATTGGATTTGGGATTGGATCCTGAGTTTGGGATTGAGATGGATCCCGATCCCTGGAATTTGGTTTGAGATTGATCCCGAACCTATGGGATGGATCCTGATCCCTGGAATCGGGTTTGGGACAGATCCCGATCCCCAGCTCAGCTTTGATCCCCGGCTCGGGTTTGGGACGAGCCCCTGAGCTCCGGCCCTGTCCCACTTCGGACTGGGGACCCCCAGCCCCACCCCCTCTGGAAAACCGGGAGAATCCCGCCGGGAATGGGGGCCCGGCCCCCCCGCTCCTCACCGGCGCCGGACATCCACGCGGTTGCGGCGGGCGGCGATTCGCTGCTGGCGCTGCCAATCCGAACCGGGCTCAGAACCGGGACCGGGCTCAAAACCGGGACCAGGCTCAGAACCGAGACCGAGCTCAGCATCAGGACCGGGCTCACCACCGGCTTCAGCACCAGGCTCGGGCTGGGATTTGGGCTCGACTTTAGACTCGGGCTGGGATTTGGGATCAAGTTTAGGCTCCGGCTGGGATTTGCGCTCGACTTTAGGCTCTGGCTGGGATTTGGGATCGACTTTAGGCTCTGGCTGGGATTTGGGATCAAGTTCAGGCTCGGGCTGGGATTTGGGATCAAGTTTAGGCTCGGGCTGGAGCTCTGCATGCTCCAGGCTTTGGGCCGGGGCCGGCCCGTCCTGCCTCTGCTCCATGGCGATACCTGGGCACAGGTGCGCGCCCGTTACTGCGCATGCGCGGGCACGGGAGCGTCCCTCGTTGCTAAGCAACGCGTGTGGGGCGGCATCACCTGAGCGCTACTGCGCATGCGCAGGGCGGGGAAGCG